ATTATATCTTAAGAGAGAGAGCTTCAAGGATCAGCTGAGTTTTATGGGTCGGAAACAAGGCTCAGAGAGGCCCCCCTAGCTGGTCCATGAATAGCAGGCAAGGGTCTTGAAAGTGGATGCTCAGACTCCCACTTCTGGGTCCCTGTACTGCCCAGGCCAAACCTCAGGTGGCATCTCAAGCACACTCTTCACAATCCTGGTGAAGAGCCAAAACACAGGTTTTCAATTAAATGACATTTCCACCTCCTAGCTGTATATCAGGATTATTTGAGGATACTTATTTAAAATGCAGATTCTCAGGCTCTGCCCTGCCAGGAATTCAAAGTTGGATAGAAAAATCTGTATTTTTAACAACTTTCCCTGCAATTCACACAGTCAGGTCAGAACCATTCTGGGAACTGGCGTTAAGGAAGCCCAGTACAAGAGCAAAATGAAGCCATTTTTCCATCAAGACTGAGTGGTCCAGTTCCTGCAGGCTCTTCTGCCGAGTGCTTCAGAGATGGAAAGAGTTATTGCTTCCATTGCTTTCTTCAGAAAGACTGATCAGCACAATGGAAAGCAGCAAACACTGTAGAGAAGGAGACCCTTTCACTCTTTAAGCTGTGCTGTAATTTAATGCACTCGGAGATCTTCTCCAGACTCTGGGGGCCTGGGAGACTCATTTAATTATTTCTTGGGCTTGGAGGTGCCATCTATCAAACTAGACTAAAATCACTTTAACTTCCAAATGGGAGAGGATGCCCTAATGTTGAATCTCTTGTGCTCCTTGAAAGGAAAATGATACACAACTATAAAAATACTTTTAAAAACCCCTACAAGTCCAGCCCATATGTTATAATCAGCACATCTGTGTGAATGCAAACTTGCTGAGAAGTGTCTGCAAGCTGACCTCCCCCTGAACATGGCTCACTATTTCTAGTTAAGTCCCAATGTGGATGCCATACAGACAGAAGGCTTCAAAAATTGGCTCCTCCTCACCATATTTCCAGTACTGCTTCTTGCTAGTCCCTCGAGTTCCCTACCCAACACACCAGAGGATAGCAAATGACAGTCCTTGGGCCAAATCTGGACTCATGACTATTTTTCTGATTAACATTTTTTGGAACACAGTCATGCTCATTTATTTATGCACCATCTATTACTGCCCTTGTGCTACAGTGGTAGGGTTGAGTAATTGAAATAGACATTGTATTTGGCCCTGTGGTCCATAAAACCTGAAATATTTACTATCCGGTCCTTAATGGAAAAAATTTGCTAACTCTTGCTGTAGACCAGTCCTTTTCAGATTTTTTCACCATGGCCTAAAATAAATACAGTTATCCAAGAGACCTCCTATACACATACACATATATGTGTATATTTTTATATACACATAACATTTCCAAAGCAATCTTTACTAAATACAATGCCCCTTCTGATAGTTTCTATTTTATTTCTTAAAGCACTAAGGATATCATATTAATGGCATGACCTCAAATGAGTCTCAATTCACATTTGGAAGAACATTCCTCTAAAAGAACCAAACATTTGGCTATTTACAACACATGTCCCTGCTCTCCCACCTCCATTCCTTTCTTGACGTCACTCCATCTGGCAGGGACTTTCTCTTTCATCTCTGTGTGACAAATCCTCCCCATTCACTGGCTTAACTTCCATCTCTTCCACAAAGTCTGCTTCAAACTTCCAATCCAAAAGCATTTTCTCCTTTTCTCATCTCCCACATCATATTTCTACTCCTGTACTGTGGCACTATAAAGCTTCTGCTTGTAGAACATTCACCTGTACATCTTTATTCTTACTCTAAATTGTATGGTCTTAAGTACTTTATATTCTATATAACATCTAATAGAATGACTTAGACTCTTATTAAACTTAAGTAAACAACTACTTATTATTAAGAGTGTCACATGGTTAAACACAGCTAATATTTTATCCCATTATAGAGACTATAAGTATATCTGGTATATTGTAAGCCCTCAAATGCTTATGGAAGACAGAGAGGAAAGGATATCCTGGACTTACCAGTTTCAATTCCGGTTGCTAGATTTGTGTTATTGTACTAACCAGTGAGTAGAATTATTGTCTGCAATATGTAATTTCTGATATTTTTTTTGAGTCATGATCCCTAGTGTAAGTACACAGAACAACAGACAAGAAGGAAATTATTCTCTTTGTTAGGCCTCAGCAGGGAAAGGGTTTAACAGCTTTGGCTGTCCCAAGAGGGAATGCCATGTACACATATTGAGTTCAGAAAGTAGTACTAGAGAGAGCTTGGTATAGTCTATTGGTTCAAGGAAACAAAGATATATGCAATCCCTCCTGGATTATTAATGGTAAGAGAAGAAAATATCTGCAGAAGAAATTCCTCCCAGAATTCAAACATGGCCTGAAACATGAACATTTAAAGTGGTTTTACTGCAATCTGTTTAAGTATGATCAAATAGTACTTACTCTCAGGAATTCAAGTATGGTTTGATAGCAGGAAATCAATCATATTTCACTGCATTTACATAATAAGAAATATATCAATATATCACTAAATTCTAATAAGGTACCTGATAAATCTGATAGCTATTTCTAATAAGTCTATAAGTAAAATGAGAATTGACAGGGGCCAGGGATTTAGCTCAGTGGCTCAGTGGTTCTGCCGCCTGCCTCACAAGTGGAAGGACCTGAGTTTGATCCCCAGTACCAAAAAAAGAAAATGAGAATTGACAAATAATCTACATAAACATAATACAGATTTTATCAATGTTGAAAATCAATGACCAAAATAAATGGTAAAATACTAAATCCATTTCCATTAAAATTATGAAATATCACGATTATTATTTAACATTATTTTGAAGATGATAGCTGTGCAATAAGAATATGAAATGAAATAAAGGGCATCAATATTAGAAAAATACAAAAATATTTTAGTAATACGTTATATAACTGTATACCTAAAAAAGAGAAAGTAATGGTTTTAGAAAATAAAAAAATGTAATCAATAGCAGAATGTGCTAAGAAGGTTGCAAACTTAAAACAAACATATTAATAGTTTCTCCTTAGGTAAGCAATAAACAAAATAGAAAGGAAAATGAGCACAGCAATGTCAGAAATCAAAGCTGTTCAAAGCTCTATAGGATATATAACCCGGATTCTTCAATGAATAATCTTTAAGGGGAAAATACAGAGTTGAGAAATGCATATAAAAGAGGTTAAAATCCATTATCAAATTGCACAGTAATTGGTTTCTAATGGGAACAAACTGTTAAGGCAGGCCAGGGAGAATGAACTGGGAGGAAGACTTGGTGGAAATGATCAGCTGCTTTTCAGAAGAGCAACATCAAGCCTATCCCCTTCCCCCAAACCTTTCTCTCACCTGAAACCAAAGCTGTAAGCCCTGGGTACAAGCTTTAAATAGCTTCTAGGGAGAAAATAGGGAGCCTTCTTGGACTCAGAATCCTATACCAATAGTAAGCAGAAGTCATGTTTTAAGTCACAGGCATGCAGTTACTATTGAGAGTTGAGGAAGAAGGAGGAACAAATAACAAGCCATCCCCAGGGTAGGACATAGTAAAACTATTCCACTGTTGAAGAAATTTTAAGCCTGTGAGACACTACAGTTTATAACAGAAACAATAAAAGCCAAATCCAGCTTAGGTGCTGACTAGCTTAGCTTAACCCTCCACATTAATGGCCCATGAGAAGAGATTTGCCCACTTCTGGCCAAAAATACTATTTATCTGCATATCTACTTCTTTTATCCACATACTAGTCAACATTCAGTAAAAAACTGAGAGCTGAAAAAGGCAAGCAAAAGCCAGTCATTGTCAAGAGATAAAGCAATCAACAGAACTATAGTTAAATATGAATTATATATTGGAATTATCAGACTGGGAGCTTAAAATAATCATATTGAATATATTAAATGATCTCATGGAAAAGAGAAGTAACATACATACATGGATGTGTATTTTTATAAGAGAAATTAAACTATAAAAATGTAAAGAGAAATGCTAAAAATAAAGCACAAAATATAGAGATAAAGAGTTCCTTTCATAGACTCATAAGCAGATTGGGCACAGCTAAGGGAAGAATCAGTGAAATCAATTCTATGCCAATGTAGATTATATAAACTGAAACATAAAATGAAAAAAAAACAAATCAGATGAGTGCATGTAAGAATTCTGAGGCATGTATGGACACAAATTATCCAACATATTTTGTAATGGGAACCTCAGAAGAAAAAAGACAGAATAGGAGTGGAGAAGTATTTGAAAATACAGTGACTGAGCATTTTCTAAAATTAGTAAATATCAACAAATGACAGCCCCAAGAACCTAAGAGGGCCACAAGGATGGTTAAACATACAACCATATACCCATAAATACATTATAAGTAAACTGTTGAAAATCAAAGATAAGAAGAAAATACTGAAGGCAGCCAGAGGCAAGGAGTTGGGAAGGTGTACTTTATACAAAGATAAAACTATATCAGACTTCTAGGAAACTATGCAATTCAGAAGACAATGGAACAACATCTTTAAAGTATTAGAAAAAGAAACTGTTTCTAACATTTTTAAGTATGATAATGGCATGGTTCTTACATGCTTTTTCCAAAGATCCCTGACATTTACAGATTCATGCTGAACCACTCATGGATAACATAAGCTAAGAGGGTTGCTTCACAATAATGAGGGAGGAGGTCTCCTTTTGTGGTTAAGGGTAGAAATAACCAGCAAGATTGAACATCCATTGATGATGACTAAAGTTAGGTGACAGACACATGGAGATTCAATATGATATTCTCCCCATCCTTCTGCAGCTTTTTGAATTTTCATAATAGAACTTTTTTCAAAACAGAAAAATTTTAAGAAAAAAGAAACAAAATAGCCTAAAGAGAAGAGTGTACCAGCACACATTCTAGCAAGTATCTTTGACTTTTTGCCTCCAATTAACTCTTCCTCTAGCCTTTGCTGCCACTACCCTCCCCAGTAACATCACAGAGCCTACCAGTGCCAAAGCTCTCTTCTCCACACAGAGAGCACCGTCCTGAGTCCATCAGGTTTGAGAAGAATCTCCATCCAGCTGGGGTCTCGTAGACAGGGACCTTCATTGATTTGGCCACTCTGAAAAATGAAATTGAAGGCAACAGTCAATTAATATATCTTATTTTCTTTCTTCTCTCAGCACAGCAGGTAGTCTTCAAGATCCATTAATTCTCTAAATAGATTTCAGGACAACTTGAACAGTGTTGTCAGTTTTCAGGGTATCAAAATGTAATCTAGAGAATGATAAACAGTCTGTTCCAGTGATTCTCAATGGTATGGAAAATGCTAATATAAGAAATATTCATCCATTTGTTTCTCTCCTGTAAATTCTTTTTAGTGAGGACATCAGAACCTAAATTAAGATTGTGTTTGTAAAAACATTTGGACTATCACGGCAGTATCTACTAAAAATGGATATATCCATATCCTATGATGCAACAATTCAACTCTTAGAAAGTACTACAGACATGTAGTAGACACTGAGGTGCACCGCTTAAGTTCACCTCTAACATCACACACACACACACACACACACACACTTTAGATATAGAGCTGGAACGTTCATTCTATCAGCATCTAGGAATGTCAATGGCTGATAGCTAACAGTCATGCTCCCATTCCTAGGTCAATCCACATCCAGTGACTGACTGATGAGGGATTTCAAAAGTCTCACCTCCATCCAAATTTGACACAATCTGTAGGGCCACTTTGGCTCCAGAGCTCCCATTTGGTGACTGAGGCCTATGTGACTGCAGCACAGTCCAACTTCTTTCAATGCCTGACCATCTTTTCTCATTCTCTTGTAGGTGTTTGCTGTAATTTAGAGCTGAAATACCCCCTCAAAGGTCCATGTGTTAAAGGCTGGATCCTCAGCTTGGCACTATTAGAAGGTAGTGAATATCTCTAAGAGCCTTGTGGGAGGTTTCAGGTAATTGGGGGCATGCCTCCAAAGGGAACCATAGAATGCCAGTCTCTTTCTCCTTTTCTCTTTTTCATTTCCCAGGCACCATGAGGTGAGCACCTTTCTCTGCCACGTTTCCACCATGAGGTGCTGTCTCACCACAGGCCCAAAAGCAACAGGGCCAACTGACCATGGGCTGAAACCTCCAAAGCCAAAATAAAACTTTCCACTTTTTAAGTGTATTATCTCAGGTATTATCTCAGGTATTTTGAGATAATAGTGTTGTGCTTTATATTTAGCTGTTCCCCAAGACTGCATCCACTTAGAGGCACAGGCTTTGGGCGGTGACTAGCTGTTAGGAGGCAGGCCCTCCCTGATAGGGGGTGGGTCACTGGGGGCATGACTTGGAAGAGTTTGTCTCCTCCCAGCTCCTTTTTTTTTTTTCTCTGTTTCCTGACCACCACGGTGTGAGCAGCTTTCTTCTGCCCAGGGCCTTCCACCATGCAGCTTGTATGTATGAGCCTGCCAAACGTGAACTGAAACTTCCGAAACCTGAGCCAAAACAAATCACTCTTCCTTTAAATTGTGAGTGTTGGGTATTTGTCCTAGTAATGAGAAAAGTAACTAAGACAAATAGAAAGCTGACTGATCTTGAAGTGTTTATCTTGAAGGCAACTTTGATTTTATAGGTAAAAAGGAATAAATTTCCTGTTTTTCTCAGAGTTGCATCCTGAGGAGCCCAGGGTGTGATGTACTCAACAGAGTATGAACATGAGGTTTGACCAGAACGATGACAGAATCACAATTTAGGATAACTGACACAATCCAAATAAACACTCAAAGTAGTATGGGCAAATAATCTGTGGTAATAATATAGTCCCATAAATTCTATTAGTTCAGGCAACTTGAGCAAATCTCACAAACAATGATTAAAAGAACTTGTTATGTTTGAGTCTGAAATGGCACCCAAAACTCCTGTGTTGAAGGCTTTACCAATGCAGTAGTGATTAGAGCTGGGGCCTTTGGAAGAGGATTGGATTATGAGATCTCCTCCCACTCCCTCTTCTCTGTCCCTGTTCTAGGCTACCATGAGGTGAGCAATATACCATGTACTGCCCCCCCATGATGTACTACCTCACCACAGGCTCAGAAATAATGGAGTCAAATGACCATGGACTGAAACCCCAAAAACCATGAGCCAAAATAAACCTTTTCCCCTTTTATATTACATCTATTTTCTCAGGTATTTTGTTACAGAAATGGAAAGCTGACTGACACAGAGGTCAAGAATGAAGACATATATGTTGTCTTGTTTCATTTAGATAAAATTCACAGCCAAAACCAACCAATGATGTCAAAATCCAGGCTCAGAAGCTCGGAACAGTCAAGTATTTTGTTTAAAATTCTTTAGCGATACTAAGTAATACTACAATTTGGACCCAGGTCTGCTTAATTTCTGCTGATGTTCCGTTGACCCTGCTGTCTCCCCAAATGTCTTAGTGCTTCATGATGCACATCAATCTCAGGGCATGCTGCAGAATAAGCTGATATCACAGACACTGACCTGAAAACTTATCTTCCCCATGTGTAAAAAACAGAAAGAGAAAAAACACCAAATGTCTACCAGCTCCAAAGTTTCCTCCTTTGAAGCCTTAGTGCAAAAAAGGTAGTCAGGGAAAGGAATCAGTGAGTGTCTTAGTACCAAAAAAGGGAAAAAAAATACAGGATAAAGGACATGCTATAGTAATTATTTCTTTAGGTTTGGTTTGTGACTGGCTAGAGGAAAAAAGTACCTAGAAACCTTTGTCTTTTCACAAACACTTCCTTATACTATAACCCCCACATAGAAATATGCTCAAGACTGAAAAATCATGTGCTAATAGTTTTTCAAGTTTGTTTTGAAAAGAAGCAACTTTTGGATGGCAGTTGTGACTTCAAAGGTTCCATCTTTCCTCTTTTCAATGGTTTGATAAAGATAGACCATCATCCTCATATTTTGGTAGAAACAAGACAAACCCTCTCCAAACTGAAAAGCAAAGGTAAATTTTTAGAGCCATTAATATTATGGTCATAAGCTCAAGCAAGGAGGAACAAATCACATAGAAGGCTTCTAGGGGTGTCACACAGAAAACCTGGGTCAGAATTAATTTATAAATATGAATGCACATGATTACCAAATAGAATGCGCAACATGGGGACAGAGGTGAGGGTGAACAGGAGGGCAGAGGGTGTGTGGACATATAGTCTCTGACCAAAATACTCTTGTGGGTTCAGAGCCAAGTTGGCAGGCCTGAAGGGAGGGGAAAGGATTTCCCTAGTTCCCACCCTTCCCAATTAATCACTGTCAGAAGGTCATCAGGCTGAAGGATGTAGCTAGATTTTGAAGGACCAGATACTTTTATAACTATGAGCCACAGTTGCAGCTATGCAAGCTAAGATAACAATATGGGTAATTAAATTCCAGGATCCTGAGCATGAGCTGATTATGTCCTAGGGTTAGAAAGGAATTCCCCTTCCTCCTCCCTCTCCTGAACTTGGGATTCATTCCAAATACAGCATTCAGCAGATACCATGCCTTAGAATGGTTTTTGGCTCTAAGTCCCTGAGGCCTCTAAAATCCTCTAATACAAAAGCTCTGGACAAAGCTGTGCATGCTGAAGGTCAGAGCCCCTCTCCCTGACAGCTGCCACCAGTCACCAGAGACAAACATAAGAGCTCACTTCTCAGGAAAGGACAAAATATTAAGGAAAAAGAAGAAATTAGTCCAGGCTACACTACACTTATTCTGCAAGTGAGACCCAGAAGCCAAGGAACTTGCCGGACGTAAGGTTCGCAGTCTGGACTTTGAAACCTTGGCAATGTGACGTCAAGGTGGAAAAGTCTCAATCTTCTTTTCAACACTTTCTCCTGCACTCCCTCTGTGTTCTGGGTTCTTCACAAACTGAAATCTTCCCTATTTCTAAGTATGCTCTTGCATCTTGTTCTTGTTGTGCGCACTTGGTTATTCATGCTGTTCACTTTACCTCTGAAGAGTAAGTCTTCTTTTCCAGTCTCTGTCAAAGCCTGTCTTAAATGGTCCACCATCATAAAGCTGGCCTTGGTCCATTTTGTGATGCTTTAACAGAATACTTGAGACTGGTAATTATAGAGAACAGAAACTTGTTTCTTATAATCCTGGAGACTGGGAAGTAAAATATCAAGACACCAGCATTTGTTCTGCTGAGAGCTTTCTTGCTTTGTCTTCACAGGGCAGAAGATGGAAAGCCAAGAAAGCCAAATGCTGCATGAAGCCTCTTTTACAAGGGTATCAATTCCATTAACTGAGAAGGTACTCTCATGCCTTAATCACCTTTTAAAGGTCCCACCTCTTCATGCTATAACTCTGGTGACACCTGGATTTTGGTTTTTTGGGGGGGGTTTTTTGGTACCAGAGATTGAACTCGGGACCTTGCACTTGCAAAGCAGGTGCTGGAACCACCAAGCTAAACCCCCGGCCCGACACCTGGATTTTGGAAGAGCTTAACCTTCAACATAAATTTTAGGAGAGGCAAAACACTTCCACATAGCAAATCTTGTGGCAAAGTCTTCCCAGTAGTCAATAATCCCATTTCATCTTCTCAGACACAGAGCTGGACTACATTTCCCAACCTCTCCTGCAGTTAGCTGTGGCCATGTGAGTTCTGGGCAACGGAACTCCTTTTTCACAATGTGTTATAAAAGCTTGCCATAGTCCATGTTCGTTCTTTTTTTACTGCCTTGATGTGGACAGAATCTTAGAAGCCAAGTGTTGAGAATGATGGACTTACAAGACAGACAGATTTGGATATATTATACATCATTTGGAGAAGAGTTAATAACTAATCAAAAAAAAACTGTTTTTAATATTCGTGCTTGAGAGATAAACTTTGTGTTACAGCCTAGGCATTTTGGGGATGGTTTTGGAATGGTAGCAACCTTATCCTAATAAATACAATCCTTTCCTTGTCACTGCTCTTAATTGAACATGACCCTTTCTGCCACTTCGCTTCCTATCTCTCAGTATGGGACTTTATATTCACTCTGTTGAACACCTCCTTTTCTCTCCACACATAGACATTATCACCACCACCAATGTGCTACAAGTTCTTTGTGTTTTATACATCTAAATGGCTCCTTCATTATCTTAGAGCACATAATA